TAAATAGATTCAGTCATTTGCTATTTCAACTTTTTAGTACCTTCTGTGTGGCAGGCACTGTAACAGGCCTTGGAAATAAAGTAGCAAATGAGCAAGCATATTCTTGCTCTCATGAAGCTTGTTTTCAGCAAGGAAGATGATTAAAATAATTTTAGTAAGATGTCAAATGTGTTATAATAGGGGGAAAGGCAAGGTGCTGTGAATACATCTAGGAGGAGCACCTAACTTATTCTAGGAGGTCAGGGACAGTAAGGAAAATACATTATGACAAATGCTATAATGGAAGGTCTTTTTTAGGTTTAGAGATACCGCCGAATAGGAGGTGCTTGTGTCCTTGGGAAGTCAGGGAACGCTTCTCATCGGAAGAAACACTTGAGCTGGCTCTTGTGGCAAAGATGTAGATGAGTGGCAGTGGGGCAGGGAGAACATTCCTGGCAGATGGAATGGTTTATAGGATGTCACAAAGCATTCAAAGCCTTTCACAGTCCCTGCATTTCAATAGGTGTGTATTGTTGGGGAAAATGGGAGTGGGCAGTGGTACATGTTGGGAGAGCAAGAGGAGACGAAACTGAACTGCAGATTGAAGGAATTGGTCTGCCAGAGTTGGGACTTTATCCTGAAGCCCATGGGTGTCACGTGAGTGTTTTAATCAGAGGAGGAATTGTGATCATATTTTTATTTATTTATTTAAAATATTTTATTGGGGAATTGGGGAAGGGGAACAGCCAAGTTGTTGTCCTTCAGTCTTAGTTGTGTAGGGCACAGCTAGCTCAGCTCCAAGTCCAGTCTCCATCTGGCGGCCCGTTGGCAGCTCGCGGCTGCTTAGCTCAAGGTGCTGTGTTCAATCTTAGTTGCTGATGGGTGTAGCCTACCATCCCATGTGGGAGTTGAACTGGCAACCTTGTTAGGAGCATGTGCTTTCACCAGCTGAGCCATTTTGCCACCTGTTGGCAGCTCAGCAGCAACTCAGCTTGGGCACAGCTCACTGGCCCATGTGGGAATCAAACCTGTGACCCTGTTGCTCAGAGCTCACGCTCTTAACCAACTGAGCCATTTGGCCGGCCCACATGTTTATTTTTAAAAATCATTCTTTTATCTCTGTAGAGAATAGACTGGGGTAAGATTGGGGACAGGTAGACCTATTGGGAGACTGTAGCAGTTGCGCAGGCAAGAAATAATGAGAAACTGAATCAAGGTAGCAGCCGTGGAAATGTCGATACAGAATCCGATATAGAAGAGAGAGATCAAATTGACGTGCCTTAGTGAGCAACTCAGTGGAGGGTTGAGGGAGAGTCAGTGAATGCTGGGACCTACGGGAATGCCACTCAGGGACGATGGGAGGAGATACGTCTGATTCTCAACTTATATTTCTCCCAACATTGACACATCCTGTGTGTATAGTAAATATCAAACGTTAGCATCACTTTGACAGCCCTCCAAAATCCTTATATGTTCTTATTTTCAGGCACGCATGATGATTTTATTTACTTGTGAGACAGATCAGTTAGGTGGGTTTCCTCAGGATTTTGTAGCTAAGTAGTGAGGAGAGTTCAGGTCTGATCTCCTGTTTCCTTGTATAGTATTCTGATGCCAGTTGGCCATTCTTAATTGATTGTAGGAGTTTGATACTATTTTTAAGAACTGTAGGGAACAACTTTCATAAATGGTTGAGTTGAAGCAAACATATGGGATATTGTTAGAACATGTATAGTAATGTAAGGGTTTTGAATAAAGAAAAAGAAAAATCCTTCAGAAGAGAATGGCTGGCATAGTAAAAGATATGATGTTTCTTGTGTTTTGTGATTGGTCTTTAGTGCCCTCTATTGACTGTTTCACCTAAGACACCTTGATTCTTGAATATAGTGTTCCTTGCAGTGTTATTTACCAAAACAAGAAAAATTAGAGATTTTTAAATTATAGTAAAAGGCAATAAAAACTGATGGGGACTTAAAAAAAACCTCCATGGGGTTGAAGAGTTGGATAGAGGTCACAAGGAATATCTTTATACCATTTTGTTTGCTATAACATAGGTATGATATGATATCATGGACTGCGTTTTCAGAAAAGAGATTTTTCTGATAAGAAGCAGCCTGAATCTGGCTGGTGTTTGTTTTTTAGCTTTTTTTTTTTTTTCAATGCAGCAAAGCCGCAAGTATGGCAGCCACCCCAGTAGACAGCAGCTGCTGGTTTTCCAAAGGGTGGCTGCTACATGGGATGACCATGAAAGGAAATGACTGTCACTCATTAAAGCAACTTCATTCAGCTTCGTGGGAAATCACACATCAGGAAAGTCATCATAGAAAATGAAGTAGTGATTATACATAATAGGGCATCTTCAGGAGTGGGTGGCTTGTCTTTTTTTTTTTTTAAGTGACAACGAAGCTGCCATTGTGTCCTTTTTCCCAGGAAAAGTGGTAGTAGATTAGATTTAGTGTTTAGAATAACTAGAGAGCTAAGCCTGAATAAATTTTAGTAAGCAAGCACACCTGGTACTAGTTTGGGGTCTAAAGAATACTGCACTGTCTATAAGTAAGTGTTCACCGTGCCTTTTTGATAATAAGGGAAATCTATTAATCTTTCTATTTCCATTATATCCTGGCCAATCTTCTTTTGAAATGTTTCTAATTATCATTTCACCTGGTTGATTTTGGAATAATCAACTCAATTTAGAATAAATAGTTCACCTATTTATTTGGGTTAAAAATAGTACTTTTTGATTCTATGTTATATGAAACTACAGAGATTGCTCACACCAACCTCATGAAATCATTTATTTGCTTTTGGTATATTTTACGGGTGCAATTTTCTCTAAGAAAGTTGAGTAATTATTAATATGAAGTAATGCTGGCTGCTCTCTGTGCATTTCATGAGAGGAATAAGTTACTATGTAGTTTCCCTTCCCCCCCAATAAAAAAGCCTTCCATCAAAAACTGACATCCTAAATGAAGGACATAATTGTACAGCTTATTTATTAGTGTGTCAAACTTAAAATCTAATGGTTTCACATTTCAGAATGAAAAGTGTGTTATGATTCATGGTTGCTGGTGATAAAATAGACAGCTCTTTTATATTACTGCACTGATTGCCTGCTGATATACCACTGTATTATTATTATTATATATTTTTTGGCTCTTTTCTGTTTTCTTCCTATGCAATAGCTCCCTCTACTTGAAAATATCGGTGTAATTGTAGTTTAACACTATGTACTTTACTAATGAGTTCCCCTGACTGTCCTTACGTTCAGTCCTCTTCATAAATCTGCAGTGTTACACATTAGAGCATGTTAGAAATTTACCGAGAATTTCTTGACGTGGGAGTAGAAAAGCGAAGTTATATAGGAAACTGGATCAGAAAAGTTAAAAAACAAAAACCCAAAAATCAGCCACTTCAGACAGACACAGCCTGGCACTTGGCAGATTCTGACTGCCAATTCCGACGTCTTATAATTCTAACACAGAATGTGTCACTTTCTCCTCTACTTTCTCAGGAAGCGTTTAATAGAAACTAACAATGGTACAATTTCGTGTTACTGCATCTTGCCTGTATGGAACAATCTGTGCATGATGGAATGATAGGAGTAGCATAGACAAACCAAAGTAAATGCTGTTATGATTGGGATTGTTTTTTCCTCTCCCTTACTAAATTTGAGGTTTAGTGATGGTGCCATAACCTCCACCATTAGGATAAATATAAGATTCTACTCAACCATAAGATTTCCATGTGGATATGTCTGCATTTACAACTCTTTATTTCCAATTTCGTCTGACTATCATTATAGTGAGAGCAAGTGGCCGAGCAGTGGGGGCCAGCAGTAAGGACTTAGGAGCCAGACTCCTCGAGTTTGAATCCTAGCTCTGCCACTAACCAGCCGGGTGATCTTGGCAAGTTTCCTTAACTTTCTGACCCTCAGTTTCCTCATAAAATACAGATAATAAATCTACCCAGATCCTGGAGTTTGTTGTAAGGATAAGTTGAATTAATGATTGTCAAGCATTTAGAACGGAGCCTGACACATAGTAAGTGCTATATATCAATGTTTGTTGAATAAAAGAAAAAAATAATTGTGGGGTTATAAATTGGTCTTTATTAACCAAATGTATTTATACAATGTCAATGTTATCTTCAATGCTTAATGAAAAGAAATATGTCATTCTGATGGATGAAAGATGTTTGCACATTGCTTTTGTTTGATCTCATATTTCTATGTATTTCTGTGTATGAATACTTCTCACGTAGGCCTACCTATACTATGTCATAATTTTTGGTTATGTTATTTTTAGACATACTTTTTAAATGCGGTGGAATAGTCCATAGTTTCCATATCTTCTTTTGAAGTCCGTGATTTAGCAGGAGGATTCTACCATGGTGGAATGCCTAGGAATGGAGTATCATTTCCCACTGTACACTTCTCTTGAAGCCTACCTATCGCCTAAGAGCTATAATAGAGGGGCTTGTCTTTGGTCCATAATATGACTATGCTTGAGGATGTCAGAGACTCTTACCCACTTGTCCCTAGACCTCTTGTAGTCCAACAAAATATCAGTCACCGAAAGTTTAAAACAGGAATTTGTGTATATTGAGCCCTCATACATGCAATTGAAATTGTTAAGCTTGGTAAAGAGGATCAAATATATGGTGATGGAAAGAGAACTGACTGGGTGGTATACACACAATGTGCTGTATAGATGATGTATTACAGAATTATACACCTGAAATCTATGTAACTTGGCTAACAGTTGTCACCCCAATAAACTTTAATTTAAAAAAAAAAAGAAGGAAATTGTTAAGCTTACGTCTTCACCTTGACACAAGTTGATATCTATGTAAATGTTTAGAGTGATATTTTAATAGCTTTCGTCCTCTTCAGAAGAGTTTCACCAGAATTCCATACTCCTGAAGTATATAGTCAAATGAGATTCATGAGTAAACATAAGCTGTCTTAAGTCTGTAGATTTGTGTTCAAGGAACTGATTCATCTTTCTTCTTTGTTTGCTCCTTAGGACCCCTTAGACCCCACAAGATCAGTGATTGTGATTCGTTCCCTGGTGGCAGATGGTGTTGCAGAAAGAAGTGGAGAACTATTACCGGGAGACCGCCTGGTCTCAGTCAACGAACACTGTTTGGACAACACCGCCCTTGCTGAAGCTGTGGAAGTGCTGAAAGCTGTGCCACCAGGCACTGTGCGCCTTGGCATCTGTAAGCCTTTGGTGGTAAGTGTTGCATTTTGTTAATCCAGGAAGTGATAGTAGTGTAAGAGTTAAGAACATGGATTTTTGGAGAAATATACACCTGGCCTCGAATCCCTGTTCCACTGATTAATCTATATGTATCCTTGTGCAAGTTGCTTAATGTTTTTGACTTACAGAATCAGAAAAAAGACTGTCTATCTGATAGGGTTTGGGATATTAAAGATGATATTCATTAAGTGCCTAGCACATTATTCCATGAATGCTAACTGCTGACATTACTAGTCCTACTACTACTTAGCACATTCCTTATGATGTGAATTAAAATAAGTCTATTTATGCATTTTAACTTTCATTTGGGAATGATTTTGAGATGGCATGATACATTGAAATCCAATTAACTATTATCATTTTATCATATGGCAATGAGATTTTAATGTGCTGTTCTGACCACCAGAGTAACTTGTAACAACCCTACCATCTGAACTCCTATATGGCCCAGCTATCTTGAAGTCATTTGATTGCTTAATCTCAAGTACTGGGTCAGATTACCATTTATGACTGATGGCCACATTACAATTATGGTGCTGTTGAGGTTCCCCAAATGCAAAAAAATACTTGATAATTTTCAAGCAGCATTAAAGTATTATTAAGTGCTTACTGTATGTCATTCAGCATTTTAAGCTTTTTACATATGTTAATTTAATCCTCATAGAACTTTAAGAGGTAGTTCTCTTATTACCCTTATCACAGATGACTCAATCAAGACACAGCCAGTTGAGTAACTTCTCCAAGGTGATATAACTAGTAAGGGGCAGAGTTGGAATATAAACTCAGCAGAGTGGCTTCCAGCCCTGTGCTTTTAGCCACAATGCTATATGTTTCTGTTTTAATTTGTTGTCACTAGTATAGTTTGCATGCAGCATGTCTGAAACTGAAAGTATGGTTCTAGTCGAGTGTTGGATTAGATTTCACAAAATCTGGGCTCTGTTTCTAACTTTGCTGTGCGTTAGCCCAGGGGGTTTCAAACTCAAAGATAGGTGGTTTCCCTCAGAATCACCTGGGAGCTGGTTAAAATGCAGTTTCCCAGGTTTTACTCCCAGAGATTCTGATGTAGGAATTCTGATGTGCTGTTTAGGAATCTTCTCCTTCAATGAGTCACCTATGTAATTCTAATGCAGAATTTTGCACTTTGAGAAACATTGTGCTTTTAATTTAATCGTAGATACACCATTTTTCTTCTATGAGCCTGTTTTTTCATTTCTGAAAAGGCTGAACAGGACTAGAAAACTCCTAAGATCTTTCTGAACTCTAAAACTTTTTTATTTTATGAAATAGATTAGATATATATACCAGGGGTGCCAAAAAAATACAATACAAGTGGACACTTTAGTCAGTGTTGCTCAAGCAGTAGTTTGCTGTAATCAGAAATGTCTGGATGCTGATGGTAACAACTTTGAACACCTCTTGTAATTGCAGAAGTCAAACATGACTTGTATTCTATCGGTATATATTGAGGATTACAATTTTAATAATTTTTTCCTTTCTTAAAATGTGTATACATTCTTTTTGGCCCTATATATATAGTTGTGTATTACATATAAAATTTTTGCATTGGGGAACGTCAGCATGACTTTCATGTATTAGTTTTTTATTCTTTATGCAGTACACATAAAAATGCCTGTATATTATACCTCTCAGACACTTTAAATGTTCAAAATGGAGTAGAGCACATAGCTCCCTCAAGTTCTTGACTTTATATTGTGTATTTGGTGTGTGGGTGTTGCCATAGCTAACAACACAAGATGCCCAGTTTGATTTTTGGACAGATTCAGGAAGGGAAAACTTGATATTTTTATGGCAACTTCATCTTGGTGTTTTGGATTGTGACAGATACTTTGTCTAGATTTTCCCCGATGATTATTTGCCTGATTATTTGGACTGCCAGGGGAAATCACAAACTATTTATTGTCTACGGGAGTTAAACAGCATGATTTTACTTTGAAGCAATTTAAGAAAGTCTCAGGCAGTATAAAAAAATGGAACTTAGTACCAACTGGGTGTGGATGCCTGTGTTATTTCTGGCAGGGTATAGAGCTGCAGAAACCTCAGGATCTTGGAGCCTGTCTCTTAGAAGGTTTCAGAACATAATAATTGTGAGGTGGACCTTTGTCTGGGCTTCCCTCAGTGAGGGGAAAGCTGTCAGGATACTTGGGAGTGGGAGGCCAGTGAAGGAGTGAGAGAAAGATCACTTTCAAGACTTAGAAAAAAATTCTTAGTGGAGTTACCAGTAAGTAATTCCTTATTTAACATCTGGGTTCTTCTAGCAAAACTGTCTGCTTGTGAACTGTAAATAGTGATGCATAAATCTTCTCCAAGGTCTGTCTTTCTATCTCTGTCATGGTTCAGTTGGTGGCCACTTATCTAATCACCTAATATTTACTGAGCATTTACTCATTTCTCAGCAGAAGTGGCGTTCAAGTTAAATAAGATGATCCAAAGTCAGGCTGGGGCAGAAAGACTATGAATATATAACAGGAGAACAAAATAATGTTTTATTGTCTCATATCATGTAGATATGTATTATCCACAGTCTGTATAGGTATTATATAGTCGTGAAGTGTAGCCTTATATAGATACGTATTGTCTATATAATAATTTTCATGTTAAGCATAAATGTTACTTACCTTCTATTTTCTACCAAGTCGCCTCAGATGGACCAGATCCAAAAAACGAAAGAACTGACTTTAGAAACTGCATTGTATCTTCAGAACTAACAGAACAGAGCTGGCAATGGCGTTCTTGAGTCAGACAGCTGTGGGTTTTTGCTTGGTTCTGTGATTTGCAATGCTGTGTGACCTTTGGCCAGTGATTTAACCTCACTAGTCCACTTCCTCATCTACAAGGTGGGGATTGCATGACATGGTAGCTGAGATCACAGGCTCTAGAGCCAGACAGCTAGGGTTCAAATTCTGGGTGTATAACTGACTAGTTAAGTAACTTGGGGCAAATTACTATGACCCTTTTATTCCTCTATAAAATGGGGTTAATAAGAGTACCTACTTCTTAAGAGTATATATTAATATATTATTAGTACATATATTAAATGAATTGATATATTTAAAGTACTTTAACCTATGCCTGTGATGTATTTAAAGTGCTTGGACCTGGGCTCATTTGCTGTTATTTTTATAGAAACGTAAAATATAAAATCTTGATCTTATAGGATTATTGTCAAGATGATGTTGAGATAAAGCATATAAAAACATTACCATAGATTGTGATATATATCTAGGACTTGATAAATAGTGGCTGTGTTATTATCTGGGATGGTATTGAGCTGGTAAGCACAATGGCTGGGCCGCTTCTGATGGATGGTGACTGCACTGTACCATTGTTAAACATTTTGAATATCACTCTGTATATACTTATACATTTCTTAATGATAAGGTCCATTCCTGGGAAAATGACTTTATTTTTCTTTAAGGAATATGTACAAACAATAAGTTTGAGAGGCTTTGACCTGATTATGGCTTTCTTTTTAATTATTAAAGAAAATTTTGTTCTAATAAAACAATGTGCATAAATTTTATTATGTACTTGCACTTGGAAATGGAAAAATAAGAATTAATCTGAAGAGAGTTTGAAACTAAGGCACTTTCTTGATTATAAAAGTGTTCCTGTGGTTACCAGAGGGATGGGAGTGGGGGAAATGGATAAAGGTGGTCAAAAGGTACAAACTTTCAGTTAGTTATAAGATAAGTAGGTCTTGAGGATGTAGTGTATGGTATGGTGACTATAGTTAACAGTACTGTATTGTATAATTGAAAGTTACAAATATTAACTAAGTGTATTGTGGGTGTCATTTAGCAACATATACATATATCAAATCATTATGCCTAAAACTAATATATTGTTATATGTCAATTATAGTTCAGTAAAAAGATAGCTTCATGGTTGACAAAAACATATATTCAATTGTGCTAAAAAAATGCTTCTATTTTCAGGAAGATGATAAACAAGAAGAAAGTTATTATATTTTACATTCAAATACTAATGAAGACAAGAGTGAAATTTCAGGAACAATTCATGATATAAATTCATCTTTAATACTTGAAGCACCTAAGGTATTTAGTAAATTTATTTCCCATTTGAGTGGTTTGCTGTGAGCTAAAGTTTCTATAAAGAAGACAGAAGCTTGTTCCCACTCCCTTAGCTAAATACATACAATTTAAATAATAACCTCTTCATCTTTATTTATTTATTTATAAACTGAAATCTTTCCCTCTTTTATCACATTGCCTCCATAAATGACATAGGACAAGTGTAAGCCATTTTCATACAAACATACTTTCTTTTTATACTAATATAGTCTTAAAATTTTGAGGGTAGAACATATTTTTTAAAATAAACCTGCATTTAAAATCCTATAAAAAACAGCTATACAAAAGAACTTACTGAATATTTTCTAAAGAAGAGTTACTTATTTAGCCCAATCCTACTTTATGTTTTAATTTTAGAAAGTATATTTGAAGCATTTCCTTTTTTTATTTTTAAAATGAATTGTGTTTATTTTGCTCTTTGCACAGTTAGTTTGTTTTTGCTTTACATGATAACAACTGTCTTGATATTCTTTGCATAATTTATTGACAGTGTCTCAAGCTGATACATAGTCCTATAATGTCCTTTTTTTTTTTTTGTAGCTGAGCCATCCTGCCACCTGTTGGCAGCTCAGCAGCAGCTCAGCTCGGGCCGGGACTCGAACTGCTGTTGTTCAGAGCTCAAACTCTTGAGCGAGCTCTTAACCAACTGAGCTACTTGGCCGGCCCTCCATTATATTTTTATAGTGTTGCCTTTTTTTTTGTTTGTTAAAATTTCATAACCACATGACATGTTCACATATACCCTCTAAATGAAACTTTTTTGTTCTTTTTACATTTAAATGACTAGGTTGCAGTATTTGGTATACTGTATTAATTTAAAAGCTTCACCACAATGAAGTTTAGCTGCAAATGAGGAAGCAATGTGAAGGAGGAAATTCATTTCAGAAATTTGCACTTAGTAATACTGAATAAACAGGACTTAGAATAGGAGATGTCACTGATCCCTTAGAAAGAGTTGGGCCTCACTGTGCCCAGCACCCTGAGGTCCCTAAGAGTTAGGCCAAAGGCTCAGCAGATCCATATAATCCTCAGATATTATCTTGGAACTCAACAAAGTTCCTGCGTATCTACAAGTATTTAGCTTCAGTTGTATGCACTTCATCTTCTGATTGATAAAATATAAATTAATTTAAAAGCATACTGTATTCATTCTTTTTTGTCATATATTTCAGTGCAGATGAAAAAATATATTTCTATGATATGGTATATTACAAAATAGTTATACTCAAAGTAATTGAGACATACTCCCAATATCTTTAGTTTATGGAGAATGTTTTTTGAACATGAGAATAGCCGTAATTTATGACTTATATAAACTTGAAAATCCTGACCTTTTAATACTTTGCTTTCTTAAGCAATAGTAGGAAGTGTATCTGTATTTATTGTAGTGCTTTTTAAGAGATTCATGAGTTAAATGTTCGACGTAGCATTTCAACAAAATTCCCATTTCTGACTGAGAATTTTCAGGTGGTTAATATATAATGAACCTGTTAAAATACTCATTCACCTTGCCAAGGGCAGATTTTTGCCTCTTATTTTATTGTTTGTCCCTTTCCTGGGTTGAGGGTTGTGTGGTAGTGAGCTTGTATTTCCCCTCATTTGTATTGCAGAGCTGTTCATGTTAACCATGTATTAGCATGGCATAAAGCCATGGTAGTCATGTCAGGGGTTAATTTCCTAGTTCATGTGTAGAGTGCAGCTTCAGGACAGATGTAATTTAAAATTTTTTGCAACTTTTTGTTTACAGGAATTTAGAGATGAACCCTTTTTTAAAGAAGAACTTGTGGATGAACCATTTCTAAATTTGGGAAGGTCATTCCAGTCCCAACAAAAAGAGATAGACAACAGCAAGGAGGCCTGGGAAATGCAGGAATTTCTGACTCCAAGGTTGCAGGAAATGGGTGAAGAAAGAGAAATGCTTGTTGATGAAGAATATGAGCTATATCAAGATTGCTTTCAGTCCATGGAGTTGTACCCCTCATCGCATATTCAAGAGGCCGCTCCTGCTCCATCCAGGAAGGAACTTTACTTTGGCACACAGTGGTTACATGACAGTGAACCACCTGAGTCTCAGGAAGCAAGGTCCGTGATGAGTATGTATTCCCAGGAGACCCAGCAGTATGGCTACAGCCCTGAAGACATGGTAAGGGATTAGCACTGATCTTTCACATCCTCCCTGCCTCCTCCTCTTCCTATTGTAACTTTCAAAAAAAAAAATTTAATGATTCTTTTCCTAATTAATCATTTTTTCCAAGATGTACCATGCAGTGTATTGCTGTAAGTAAAAGCTCATCTTTTCTGTATTATTCAACTTGTAGTTAGAGTCAGTAAGCTACAGTTGCCTTGCTTCACAGTGTTTCTGTTTCCCCCCCCACCACCTTTTTTTTTTTTAAGAGATGTTTTTCTCCTAATTACCCATTTCAGGGAAGAGTTCTCTTGTCATTTGTGATTTTTTTTTTTAAATTCCCTCAGGGAGACACAGCTATATGTTTCTCACATAGTGCATTTGTTAGGGAGAATCAAGGCAAATCGATTAAAGATATATTGTTGTTTGTATCTTGCTTATCCATACTGTTCTCTATTATGTATGATACTAAATAGGAAGTCACTGAACTCTAAAAAATTATTTTTGCATTTGTGACATTCCCTATTCCCAGCTTGGCAGGAAATCATTATATTTTAATAGGTGTGTGCTTGCTATTAAATCACCAATAAACTTTATTTTTTATTAAATTAGAGTTAACTGGTTACCAATTAGAATCTTTCATTAGGGACGTTTTTTAGGGTTTTATCTTTGTTTATTTCCTACCCCAAATTAACTTCCAGGCAAATGAAAAGGAACTTATTATATAAATATATACAGTAGTCTCCTCAGGTACAGTATGGCGCACCCCTCACTGAGCTTGACAACTTTCCCGAAGTGATGTGCAAAGTGTGCCTTCATTTTCTCTCTCAACAGGGCAGATAAAGCAGAGTTTGTTCCTTTGCCTCCCTTAGACCTTTCATCCTCTTTTCCCATCTGTCAATGCTTGTGTGTCCTTCTGCTATACAGGGTGCTGTACTGGGTATATTTATGGAACCCCAAAAGAATCCCCATAATAGGGGACTCTGGGCAGTCTGCCAGAGAACAGATATTTGGGGATTGTGTGACTAATACCTTGATATGGGACTAGGTGAGACAGAATCACCTGATGTGTTTGTTGCCTTTGACATTGGTACTTTCTATCTTTGCCATTCCCACTCCTATATCTTTATTTTTATTTTACATTTTATTTTTATTTTTTTAGCTGAGCCATCTGCCACTTGTTGGCAGCTCAGCGACAGCTCAGTTCGGGCCGGGAATTGAACCAGCGACCCTGTTGCTCAGAGCTCGCACTCTTGAGCGAGCTCTTAACCAACTGAGCCACTCGGCTGGCTGCACCACTTCTATATCTTTAAGTGCTTAACTTCAAACAGAATATTCAGTAATGTGGAGCAAATTCTAATCACAGATTATTGAATATTCATAAATACTCCCTTGTTCTAGCTTTCTCCTATAAAAAGAAAATTTTCTGTTTACCTAACTATAAGGCACCATGAAATGTAGGCCCATTTTAATATACATTTAGGGACATAGATGAAATAGTCAAATGTATATTCACAGTATTTATAAATTTATTTAAACCTTCATATTTTAAAATCTGTAAAATATTTTTGCCTACTCTCACATTTAGTGACATATTTTTATTAAAAATCTTTGATGCATATTCAATGCCAGTATCCACATTATCATTAGAATCACTTTTTGATCATTTAACATGGCTTTCCAACTATACTATCTTCATTTCCACCTAGGTTTTTTGAGATACATTAATTTTTTAATCTATACTGTCAGAATTTTATCCTAAATTACTCATTTGCATAATATTATGCTTTTATTTTTTTTGTTTTTTATTTTTCTTATTGTTAGTTTCAGGTGTACAGAACAATGCAGTAATTATCCTTTTCACCCTTCACGCAGAAACAACCCTCCTCCCCCATCTACTGCCCTCCCACCCCCAATATCATACTTATCTATTACAATTCCATTGACTCCATACCCACACTCTACTCCATGTCCCATGACTATATGTATATATAATTATAGTTGACATACAATATTATTCAACATCAGCTTCAGAAATACAGTGCGGTAGTCAGGCCTCTATACCGACTATGTAGTGGTCTCCTAACAAGAGTCCATCTGGCCCCCTAAAAAGTATTTATAACATTATTGATTATATTCCCCAGACTGCCTTTTCTATCCCTGAGACCATATTGTAGTTACCAATTTGAATTGTTTTGTCCCTTCCCCTTCTCCTTCATCCCCACCTCCCAACTAGCAACCCTCAGTTTTTCCTCTGTGTCTCTGAGACTATTTCTGTTTATATTTCTCATTTATTCAGTTTTTTAGAATCCACGTATAAGTGAGATCATATGGTATTTGTCTCTCTCTGACTGACTTATTTCACTTAGCATAATGTTCTCTAGGTCCATCCATATTGTTGCAAATGGAACAATTTCCTTTCTTATAGCTGAGTAATACTCCATTGTGTAAATGTACCATAGTTTCTTAATCTGGTTGTCTACAGATGGGCATTTCGATTGTTTCCAAGTCTTGGCTATTGTGAATAGCGCCACAATGAACATAGGGGTGCATATATTTTTTTGAATTAATGTCTTGGATTTTTCTGGATAAATACCTAGGAGTGGAATTGCTGGGTCATAAGGTAGTTCCATTTCCAGTTTTTTGAGATACCTCCATACTGATTTCCATAGTGGTTGCACCAATCTTCAGTCCCACCAACAGTTCACCAGGGTTCCCTTTTCCCCACAACCTCGCCAGCATTTAACATTAGGCTTTTAAAAAATTCCTCTCGTAAGTTTATATTGATGATCTTCACAATGTAACCGCTTACTCTATTGTTTGTTAAAGTGTTCTTTACAAAACTTGTTTATAACACTGTTCAATGCTCCAATTTTGAGAGACATCCTAATTAATAAATCTGTGTTAAATTCCCTAGCTTTCTGATTCTGTGAAGTAATGTCTATAGGCTCTCTAAGCTGGCATTTATTAAGATTGTTTCCATCCTAATGAGTCTTGCCTAAACAATGTTTTATTTTCTTTAAATAATTATATGTTCTTGCTTTGGGCATTAACTCTTTTCCTCCCTTGCCATACTCCACAGTGATAACAGTGTAGGGGAAGAAAAAATTTTTTCCCCTTCCCTCCTAGGTTCTTGGACTGGGACCCTGGAAATTAAACTGACGAAAGACAGATTAATGAAAGAAAAACAATTTATTAATACCTGTGCCATGCATACACGCAGGAGAAACTCAGTGATGAAGCGATGAGTAACTCAAAGGGATGGTTAGAACTTGGGCTGATATAGCATCTTAATAAAGAACAATAAATTTATAGAGAATTGACAAGACAAAGGAAAGGGGGTTTATGCTTTTATGGTCAGCAAACTGTCGGAAGGTAAATGCATGAGGGAAATTAATGGAAGATAAGGATTGTTTTAGTAAGGTTTGTTGTGTACATTCCTCTTTGTGCCATCTCTGAGCTGAAAAGTCTAGCGTTGTCTTGGGTGATTGAGAATCAGGGAGAATGGAGAGCTTTTCTGAGTCTGCTCTTTCTCAGTTCTCTTCAGCTTTCTCAGTTGTCTTCAGTGGCATATTTCTGGGTAGGATATTCTGTCCCCCTATAACTGTTACACCCATATGATTAAGATCTTTGCCCTCTTCTCATTACTGATGGACCCCTGTAATGATAATTTATTATCTAATATTACAAGCCCTGGGTAAATTTTAAAAACACAGTCAAATGTCTTATAAATATGTAATTCCCAGTACTCTTCTATTTAGAGGGTGCCTTCCAGAAGGGTAGAGGAACATTATCACTTCTATCTTCACTGTAATATCCATTTTAGGTGTAGATATAGCTATATTTGTGGAGTGCGAATAGTTTCTTCAAAGTTTTATTTTTCATCTCTACCACCCTCTTACTCCATTTTAGTTAAAGGATAAAACCATCAAGGTTTATAGATCTGGCCCTCTTTTCCTCCCTCCCTCCCTCCTTTCCTCTTTCTCTTTTTCTTAAAAATTTTTTTTTATTGTAGTAAAATACACATAATGAGAAAAATCACCATTTTAATTCTTTTTAAGTGTACAACTTGGTGGCAGGAAGTACATTTACAATGTTGTCAAACTATCACCACTGTTTTTGGAACTTTTTTGTTTGTTTATTAGGGCCTTTTTTATAGTTAACATTCAATATTGTATTAGTTTTAGGTATATAGCATAGTGGTTAGATATTTATATAATTTATGAAGTGATCCCCCCAATTAGCCAAGTACCCACCTGGCATTATACATAATTACTACAATATTACTGACTATATCCCCGCTACCACTTCATAACCACACATTTGTGCTTCCCAATCCATCCACCTTTTTCACCCATACTCCCAGCCCCCTCCCATCTGGTAACCATCAGCTTGTTCTCTGTATCTATGAGTCTGTTTCTGTTTTTTGTTTGTTTGTTTGTTTGTTTTGTTCTTTAGATTCCACATAAAAGTGAGATCATATGGTGTTTGTCTTTCTCTGTCTGGCTTATTTCACTTAGCTTAATACCCTCCAGGTTCATCCATGTTGCCTCATGGTTCCTTATTTTTATTTGTGGTAAAATATGTATTACATAAAATTGACCATTTTAAACATTTTTAGGCTTACAGTTCCAGTGGAATTAAATACACTTACATTATTATGCAGTCATTATCACCATCCATCTCCAGAATTTTTTTTTATTTTCCCAAACTGAAACTCTGTACCCACTAAACAGCAACTGCCCATTCTCTGGGAACCAACCACAGTTCTACTTTCTGTTTCTAAGAATTTGATTATTCTAGGTACCTCATATAAGTGGAATCATATAATATTTATACTTTTGTGTCTGGCTTATTTCACTTAACATGATGTTTTCAGGGTTAATCCATGTTGTAGCATATATCAATTGTTTTCCTTTTTAAGGCTGATTAATATTCCATTGTATGTATATACAGCATTTTGTTTAGCATTCATCAGTTGATGGACATCTGGGTTGTTTCTATCTTTGGCTGTTGTGAATAATGCTTCTGTGAACATTGGTATACAAATATTTGTTCAGATACCCAAATTCTGGGGGTATGTACCCAAAAGTGAAATTGCTAGATCATATGGTAATTCTGTGTTAAATTTTTGAGGAATCACCATGCTGTTTTCCACAGTAACTTATCCATTTTACATTCTTACCAGCAATGTACAAGTTTTCCAGTTTTTTTCACATACTTACCAACACTTGTATTCTGGTTGTTGTTTATTTTTCTTCTTCTTTTTAAATAGGTGTGAAGTGGTATCTTATTGTGGTTTTGATTTGCCATTTCCCTAATTACTAATAATGTTGAGCAACTTTTCATGTGCTTATTGGCTATCTTTAAATATTCTTTTGAGAAATGTCTGTTCAAGTCTTTTGCCCATATTTTAAAGATCTGAGTTTTTTCTTTTTTGCCTGAAGATTATTTACCTGAGAATAATTATATATTCTTATTTTCTTCTCTATTTAGAAAAAAAAAAAACCCTGAATTCATTTTTCTAAAGATCTAACCTCTCATACCTACTATATTGAAATCTCAGATTCAGGTATCAATTTTCTTATTCCTCAGTTCCATAATTGCCATTAACATTTTTTAAAAAATGTCCAAATGATCCAAAAAGTGCTATGAAATTTATTCTTTTTCGGTATTCACTGCCTACTATTTCCTCCTTCCTTCTCTAAGAAATTCTTATTTTATTCTAGGCAACTAAGTAGTCGTATCTCCTTTCTCATCCCTATTTAATATTTGAGTTGAATTCTACATTCTGTAGGCTCCATTAGGTATCTGATATAATTATATACTTAGCTATAGTCATAATCTGGAAAAATCTAGCAGCATTTGGTACATTAGTTTATGAGAAGTTCTTCTCTTACCATTGAACTGTGACCAACATAACTTAATAAACAAACAAACAAAAAACAGACTATTGCAAAAGATATAATTCACATTTTTGTTTTGAACATCCTATATTTCCAACAGTAGAGAATAACATAGTGTTATTCACCTTAATTGAATCAAGGCATAGCCCAGTGGTGGTCATGATATTGTCATGTAATTTTATACTTGTAAAAGTTTGTAAATGTCATAATTAAATACTTCAGTGAAAATTGTATGTTTTGGAAGATTATAACTTTAGAAAATCATAAAAGACATGTAAAAGGAGGACAAGGGGAAAGTATAATAAGTTACTGACCATGCTTACCTTTGGTTTTAGATTTGGGTAATTAGGTGTTCACCAGACAAATAGGAGTGCTAGGGAGGGTGCAGCAAAGGCTTAGAGCTATGAAAAGCCACTGGGTGTTTTGGAATCAGCTATTTAAATGGTGATCAACATGATCTAGGAGGTAGTGTGTGTATCAACCATTGACCTTGCTTGACCCTATAGAACTTGATTTTTCTACCTTGGTGACTTTATTTAAATCTACTTACTAATGTTTAGAAAACAAATTTGTTGAAAAATCCAATGTTTGGAAAATACAGGTTTTACTAGCCTGTACTCTTGCAGATATTAAGTTGCCAGCATTTGTTGCTGCATCACAGTATAAACCGTTATTGGAGAAGGAATGTTTGCAGGGCCAGTTTTTCACTATCATTATCATTTGGTTTGAACAACATTATAGTCTTCCACATTTTCTCATAAAGTACTAATGCATTTCTGTTTTTCTTCCTCTCAAGATGAAAGAAGATTTTGGCATCGATTCCCTCCCCTCCATACCCTCAACTGAAGAAAACAGTCAACAAGGCAGATTTGATGATCTGGAGAATCTTAATTCATTAACAGAAAGCAGTCTGGAGTTAGGTTTGTGGTTTTTGTTTCTCATAAACACAAATTACATTATTTTGCAGTCTTTCAGTTTTATTTTTGTATGTGATGAATTTTACTGTCACATTTTCATTCATTATGATATTTTGAATTTAAATCTGCTTATAAATTAATATGCTCCAAGACATATAGAAGAATAACATGGCTCATATTTCGAACTTCAAACTTTCAGATTCTGTTTTCTGAGAGGGCTGCATTTTCTTGGCCTCATTTTGCTTTTTATTAGCAGTATGGATTAAAACTAAAACTGGTACCTTAGGCCGAATCTGAAATAAGTCTCTACTAATATATATTAAAATCTCTGATGCTATTAAGTGATACTGTTAGCTCATTGAATGGGATTGTTAAATATTAATAAAGAGAGGCATATTTTAAACATTTATGAAACATTTTATAGCCATATATTACAGTCAATTTTGGTGCATTAATAACTTAGTTTCCATTAAAGAATTCTGAAAGTATCATGACTCTCCCTGCCTCCCCTCCATATTGATTCTTACATATTTTTGAAAACTTGACTTTTAAAAAATCATTTTCTTCATCCACCACAAATATCAAATGTTGTCGTAATATTAGGGTCCATAGGTAAGATTGCTTTTTCATAGCACTGGGATTTGTAGAGCCATTGTTCAGGATTTATGCTGTCCTTCACCTGTTAAGATTCTGCTCATAGGGAAAGTCTTTCTCTGTGGGCAATTCTTGTGTTGTATGGTAATGTGTTGTGAGGAGGAGAAAGAGAACTATAGAAAATTATGTAGTGGTTTTGTATGAATTCAGCATTCTATTAAGTAAAATCTAAAGGCTGGAATGCTGAATGGTAAATATTGAAGACATCTATAAGATGATAACAATCGTCAATTCCCAATGGGTCAAAAGAGTTAATTTTGATTACCTAAGATTAGATGAGTCTATCAAATTTTTCATGATGTATAAGGAAAAATATGGGACTTTTCTCACCAAAACTCTCCCAGTATACAATTTTTAAAATTCGGCACAATTTTCTATAGTCCTCTGACTGATAAATACTTGGAGAAGATTTATAGTACAAATGAATAAATAAATGAATAGATCATAACTGTTTAATTACCATTGATACTTTATAGCAATGTTGGTATTTTTTTGGATCCAATAAATTTTGGTTGAAGAGGGTTTAACTATGCATTTTAGGATGTTTAGTAGCTTCCCTGCTGTCTAACCTTAGATGCCAGTGGTAATCTCACCCCAGTCATGATCAAAACCAGAGTATCTCTAGATACTGCCAAATGTCACCTGGAAGATAAAGTTGCCCCTGGTTTGGAACTACGTATGCTTTATACTGTCAGGGTTGAGGGAAAAGACTAGCTATATGGGGTGGGAGTTTGTGGGGAGGGGCAGTGGAGTTGGGAAGAATATAGAGAAAGAGAGAGTCTTCTCATGGAATGATCCAGTGCCCCCATGAGCCCTGCTGTATATCACCGAGGTGACTCCAAAGTTAGTTCCTGTGCATTCTGCCACCTGTATGAGTTTCCTAGGGCTGTTGTAACAAATTGTCACAAACTTCATGGCTTAAAACAACAGAAATTAATTCTCTCAGTGTTCTGGAAACCGGAAGTCCTAACCCAAGGTACTGTGCTCCCTCTGAACGTCTATGGAAGAATCTGTTCTTTGCCTTTTCCAGCCCTTGGGGCTCCAGCATTCTTTGGCTTGTGGCTGCATCACTCCAATCTGCCACCTCCTTCCCTTGGCTTCTCTTCTTCTGTCTCTTATAAGAACATCTGAGGTCCATGCCTGGCGGCCGGGCGGGGCGGGGCTCTGAGGGCGGGGCCCGACTGCGGAGCGGGGGCGAGGCAATAAAGAAAAAGAAAAAAAAAGAACATCTGTCATTGGATTTAGATCCCTCTCGAGCAATCCAGGATGCTCTCATCTCAAGATACTTAATTACATTTGCAAAGACCTTTTTATCCCAATAAGGCCATATCCATAAGCCCTATGGCATGAATCTATCTTTTAGGGAGACACCATTCAACCCACTAGACTGCCTTAATCTAATACTTCACAAGGCCCTGGGAATTCATTTTCAGAGATCATAGCTTAGGGAAAGAAACTAAACTTGTATCTCTTAGACCTGTCCTCACTAGAAAAGCATTCGTAACTACATGCTTTTAGGAAAAATTTTCAAGAGCCTCCAGAATGCTATGTGTCAGGTATGTGTATCTGAGTTAGTGCTAGTCATGGGTGGGCTGAGAAATGACTGATACAGAGTCAATACAGATTTCAGCAGCATACATATTGAGTTAACGCTACTCAAAATTTCCTTTTGTTCTCAAGAGCCCTGTCCAGCAAACAGCAGACCGTTTTAGTCCTAGGACCCTTAGTACTGAGCAGTTAACCTGCTGCCTTTGTTTCTAAGCAGTCCCCCAGGTGTCTCCAAGCCTCTCCATTTCCTCACCTGTAAAATGAAAGGTTTAGACTATGTGTTCTATAAGGTCTCTTTGAAATCTGTAGCTCTTTGACCACTTTTTTAGTAACAGACAATTTAGATTTATCTATGAACAATGAATTTAAAAATTATTTTTGAGAACCTATGTGTAAAGGGCTATTCTTGACCCTATACTCAATCCAAAATTATTTATCCTCAAAGAGCCTATATTCCTCATGGGCTGTGAGATTAGCCTACTAATTAGCATAATTAATGTGTAAAGCATACAAGATAAATTTAAAATCAATAATGCATTTAGCATTACAAGATTTCATATAGATGATATATTGCAGAATTGTACACTGGCAACCTATGTAACTTTACTCACCATTGTCACCCCAATAAACTTTAATTAAAAAAAAAAAAGATTTCAGATTTCAGACAGAAAGCAGTCCTTTGACTGCCCCTGCTTGGGGTATGCCTCCAGTGAACCCTGGATGAATTTCTGTCATTGCACCCAAGCGTCAGGCACACGTACTCATTTGTGTGCCAGTCTTGTACTATACGCCGAGCTTCTGGAGAGCAGGGCTTATCTCTGATCATGTTATCAATAGTAGGTGCTCAAGAAATATTTGTTGAATGAGAAAGTGGTAGGCCGCTCATGTGTGTTACTTAACAGCATATTGATTCCCGTTTTTTTTCAGTTGCTAAGTTGTACAGGAACCCAGTCTCCTCTCTACCCAGAATCTTACTGCCTTTGTTTTGTTGATCATTGTATTCTTGCACCTCACCAAGTATCAACCTTTTGAACATTTTCCCCATTCCTTTCTGCAAGCATTCACTTTCATTTACCAAGAACATTTTTTTTTAAGTTTCCTGTTTTTCTAACCTTCATGCTCCAGTTAGGGCCATTACCTAACAACTGTACAGGCCCTTGAGGACTTGATTTGTTTTATGGGCACTTGGTGACCAGCTCTGTAACGTGAAACTGTGTCAAGTACTGTGAGAGATGAAAATGTGTGCCCAAGCACTGCCAAGGGTCCGTGGAGGAGGAGTTGGGCACAGGGTTTGAGCAGCCTTTGTATGGGGCAGGTAGTGCCAAGTTTTAAACAAATGGCAGCAACCTGTGAAACCCAGCGCTCTAACCTAACAGGCTGCTTTTACCAGCATAGTTAGATGGGAAATAGCTCTGCAAATAGAGCTGCTTTTCTGTTCTAAAAACTCTGGTTTTAGGCCATTCTTGCCAGAATCTCGATCTCGCCCTGGGTCCCTCCTCCATGGGGAGGAGGCAGACATAGGCAGAGCTAGAACAGTGGGGCAGTGATATAGATTTGACTGCTATGCAGGAATGTTGGCCCCTTTGGATGGGATGAGGGGTGCATGGCGAAGGGGGGTGGGGAAGGCAACAGAGACTTCTTTAATGCCATCTGAGCATCACAGTTATTTTCACCCCTCGTCAGATTCTGTTGCCTTACCAGCTGATTAGATCCAGATTCCAACATTGCTGGACAAGATAAAAAGCAGAAGTTCTAATGAGTTTACTGGAAAATTTGTTCAATATAAAGAAATGAAGAATTTAAATGACGCTTATAGGAAAAGTTTTAGAAGAGAATAACTCTTAGTCAGAGATTATGTATAATTTTCTGATAAGCCAGATCTCCAAAATATACCATAAATGTATGGGCTTAAGGAAGGTATTTGATGCACAATTTAACATATGTGTGTAACATGATAAAGAAAGATTGGCTGGGAATTTATAATGGATTGGATATAATGGACACTGGGGTGTGTCTGGAGTGACTAATGGATTTATGTCACCATGGGTGCAAGTCTGTAAACATGTGCCATAGGACTCTATGCACAGCTCTGCCCTAGTTATTCTTTTTTTCAGTAAATGGGAAAATGACACAGATGGCATGTCAGGTAAATTTGCGCATTCTAATTGCAAAATTCCTTAGATTGTGTCCTTCCCACCTATAAAATACATTTGCTAGTGTCTTTTTTCCTTAAGTCATAGTTTGATATTAGAATTAAATAAGCTAACAAATGTAAAAGAATTGTGGAATTTATAAACAAAGCCCCTTTAAAAAATATAAGTTTTTTATTTGCTTATTTGTTATTCTGTTATTTTTTTTAAAATCAGTGAAATGTTGCAGTGCCTGCAATTGAGACAGCCTCAGTTGATAGAGGAAAATTTGTAGTAAGATTAGAATACCATCACAAACAGGATTCTTTTGGTAAAATATTTATATTGCTGAAATGTCATCTTTTCAGGGAGGCCATACTCAAAATTCTAGCTCTGTTCTACTAAGCAATCCCTATCCCTCTTCTTTGTTCCATTTTTCCTCATAGTACTTGTCACCATCTGACGCGGTAAATATTTTACTTACTTAGTTTAATATAAGTAAGTTTTCTACCTGGAAGGGGCCTGCCCATAGTAGGTGCCCATAACTATTTGTTGATTGACTTCAGGATGAATGAGAAAGTACCTTGTGTTCATTATCATCTGGGTTTGCTCTTTAGGCATGGTGATTCCGAATGATGTCCAAGGTCCTGGCTTGCTTGTTGAACTTCCTGTTGTGGCTCAAAGGAGGGAGCAAGAAGATTTGCCGTTATACCAACTCCCCAGGACCCGAGTGGTTTCTAGGACCTCGGCATACACAGGAATGTCATCTTCTAGACACGCCACTGATGCATAGTATGATACTGTTTCTTTCTTCTTTTTTTTTTAAATATTTTATTGGGGAATTGGGGGAGGGGAACAGATAAGTTGCTGTCGTTTTGTTCTTCAGTCTAGTTGTGGAGGACGTTGCTTCACTGGCCCTAGTTGACACCATCATTGCGCTCTTCCCGGGTGAGGCAGATCGGTCGCAGGGCCCTGGACGGCTGCTCACGGCAGCTCTTCACAGCTCATGCCTGGTGCTGGCTGCTCACGCCGGCTGCCAGCCACTCACAGTAGCTTTACAGTAGCCTACTGCAGCTCCACTGCAGCCTACGGTGTTGCTGGCGACTCATGGCAGCCCAGTTCCATGTCAAGCTGTTATTCACCATCCTAGCTGTAGAGGGCGCAGTGTCACTGGCCCTTATGTGGGATCCAAACCGGGGCCCTGCTGCTCAGAGCTGGTGTTCCAAGCCAACTCTTAACCAGCGCGCCACTTAGCCGGCCCGATACTGTTTCTTTTTGCTTTTACATCATAAAATAGTTTTGTTTTTGCTTCTATATATAAAAAAAAAAAAACAATAGTCATGATTATGGTGAAACATTTGGAAAATACAGAAAAATATTATGACTAAGACGCACTACATTATATAACTACTATGAGAATTTCCTAGAAATAAAATTGTGCCATATTTACAATTTTGTATTTTTGCAGTTGTATGCAAAATGGATTACATAGAGTATTTGCTTGGAAAATGGGAGGTTAATTAAAAGTTGATTTTAACAATTCAAGCAAGAAGTACTCAAGTACAAATGAGGGACTGGGTTTAAGAGTTAGAGAATCCCTAGGAATTGGTGACTGATAACATGTTGAGCATGAGAGGGAGTAGTGGAGGACGACTCGTGTTTCTGGACTGGGAAACTAGGTGAATAGTGGGATCATTAATTCTTTGACACAGGATTTTAGGAGCATTAACAGGGTGGAAGGGAAAATGACGAGTTAAGTTTGAGACATGTTGAGGGTTCAAGCATACATAGGACAAAGTGAAGTGGAGTCAATTAGATATGTGATTCTAGGAATTAATATTGAGGTCTTTTCTGACATGGATAATTGGGAGCAAGAAAAGCAAAACTCCCAGACTTGAGTAGTCATCCAGGGAAAGCTCAATTAATAAAAAGCATAGGGCCAAAATTTGAGCCCTGCAAAGCAGCAACATTAAAGGTGTGAATAAAGAAAATAGTGAAGTGGAATGAATAAAAGGTAGAAGGAAATTGATGAACTAGAGTTTGACATAGAAACCAAGGGTCTTAGAGAGCATTTCAACAAAAGGATCATCATAGACTGTGGTCTCATGCTACAGGAAGGTCAAGGTAGATAAAATGGAAAAGCGTTCATGGTGCTTAGCCATGTGGCCCTTGGTAAGCACAGAAGTTTCATTAGAGTTGAAATCGGAGAGTCATGGGTTAAGAATGGAACAAAAGGTCAGAAATTAGACATAATTAGAGTAGACTAGTGTTTTGAGAATCTTGATCATGAAAAGAGGCAGATAGAATGCATGTTACCTAGACAACTAGAAGCTATTGTTGGATTGAGGCGAGGAGGGAGTTTTATATATATAGTGGGAGTGTGTGTCTTTCTGGGAATGACCCAGAAAAGGAATATGTAGATGCCAGAAAGGGGATCAGTAAACATAGTTCCTGGAAAGGGTGGAGGGAGAAGACATTGTACACTTAGAGAGATGAACTTTTGATATTTTGATAGGGGAAAGTTTACCTCCTCCACAGAGATGCCAGGAATGAAAAGACAGTACAAGTGCAGGTACTATTTGTACCAAAGGGCAGGAATCCAAAGCAATTTTTGTCCAATGGCCTTGATTTTTTTTTTCTGTCATTTAGGAAAAAAGATATTTACTAAGAGTGATGGGATGCTGGTAAAGTGTGCATTGAAAGAAGAGGTGTCAGAGTGGAGATTAACTTTTGAAACAAGGATAAGCGAGTAATGGCTTAGTGGTGGAAGGAAGTTTACAAAAATATTGGCCCCCTTTTTCCAACTTCCCAGAGAGTGAGAGAATGAACATTACCCACTTGAGTGTGGTATCGTGGTAGAGAACCAGAAGCTGTTGAGAGAACAGAGGACCTTGGGAAGAGATTAGGGTGTAGAGTAGTTTCTTTACAACTCAAGGAGATTCCACGGAGTGTGCTGGGTAGTTTGGCTGGGTGGGCCTTGGGAGTGGGGTGTGGGAACTGGAGCAATATGTGAAGGAGAAGCCAGGGTTGGCATAGCACTATGAGTACAGGAGAGTAGAAGTAAGCGAAGGAGTGGGAGGTATTGGCAAAGCATAACAGGCATGAGCGATAGGATGGGATTAACTGGCCTTACTGTTTTTATTAAAACCTTAGTCCAAGAATGATTTCGTGTTGATATATGATATCAGCACAAAATGATATCATCTCCTCTGTTTAGCTACCTGTGACCTTGACCTAGAAACTTCATAAAAAGTCTTTCTCTGTGCTTTGTCATACCTCATCTCTAGAAAGGAAAGGCACAAATAGGCCCAACTACTTAGAGAAATCTGATGGCTTTTCACTCAGCAGAACAGGATCAGTGTGTCAACGGGGAGGTGCTGACAGGCCTGGGGTCCTAGTGTCCTAACCAGCTGCCGGAAACACTGACAGTGTTAAACAGGCAATGGATTTGTTTCTTTAGGAGAGATGCCCACAAGTAGAAGTACTAGAAGAGTTGGGAATATATTTTATGACTTTTATGTGGTCAAATTACTTTTCAAATGAGACCACGTTGTCTTTTAAATTTCCCTTGTGCTTCGTGTTAATTGAATTTGGCTGAAGAATTCAGAAATGGGGCTGCTTCTCTAAAGCTATAGAACTGTTAACTGTAAATTGGAAAAGATCTAAACAAATTTCCAAGCCCACCCCTCCTTTGCCACACAGAAGATGATGAAATGGAATATCAGTTGTGTCCCACTCAATTCCTCCAGGTTCAGAAAGGGAAGATATGCTTTGCTCCTATCCCATTGCTTTTTCTCCTGAAGTGAGCACTTCGTTAGCTGATTTCTTAGCAGCTTAGTAGGCATTTAAGGACTCCAGCCTAACTTTGTCTTGGGAGATTGGTCTTGCAAAATTAAAATTGTTTTTTGTTTTTGTTTTTGTTTTTTGGCTTGCTCTCATAGATTCAGGATATATTTAAATCTCAGCAGGTTCCAGACGAGTTCCTGTAAATCATAGTTCCCCTTTTAATCTTTTAGAGTACACTCCATGGAGTTAGGGTCATAGGTGAATATTTATTGCCACTCAGGAGCCCTCCTGAGTAATGCATAGATTCTTTTGTTTTTTTTTTGTGTGTGTTTTTTTTTGGTTTTTTTTTAGCTGAGCCATCCTGCTACCTGATGCATAGATTCTTTTGGAAGACAGTCTTTCAGATCACTGTCACGAAGTGCTAAGTGTTATTTTAGAGTTTCTTCTTTGCATGAATGTTTGTGCAGGACTCAGCATGGGCAGGCAGGCTATGATAACTCTGGAAGGAGTTGAGTGATTTCATTCCGAGTATCCTTCTCTCTTCATAAGGTCACTTGAGATCATGTCTTCAGAACTCACCTGGGTTTAGTCTTTTTCTAACTTACCTCTGTCGTCACCTGCTGCCTAAAGACACATAAGTGCCCATAATGGGGGACATGCACGTTTCTCAGACTAATAGCAGAGCCGCAGTATAGATATATTATGGATTCTGTTCAGATTTTTCCTGTGTTATTTATAGCTACATGACCTTGAGAAGGTTTCCCCTGTGTCTATATTTCCTCAGTTATAAAGGCAGTAGTTCTATGGATTAAATAAGAGAGACTATAAAGAGCTTCATGTAATGCTTTGAACATAGTGAATGTTTAATGAAAGGTTGCCAGTAATTCTGAATGACAGTGATAGACTCATGGGCCCTGAGGTGTATCTAGGATAGTATTCATTGTTGCTGAGTTTTTCAAAAGGAGATTGTAAGCTTTTTTTGTTTGTTTGCTTGTTTTTGTAATAAAATAGGATGAACGCATAGTAAGTAAAACATGGTGTCAGAGGCTAAAGCCTTGGGAGGATGATGACTTGAGATGAAAGACATTTAAAATTGAAAACAAAATCATGTTATAGGTATAATAGAATACACATGAGAAGAAATAGTTTCACATATTAGGTACTTTGTTATGAATATGGGAGGTAGAATAGGACACAGGATGTCAGAGTTGTGCAAAGGATTAAATGAGCTAATGTTCTATTTTGAGCTCCCAGTACAGTGTCTGGCATTTCATGCCTTCTAAATAAGTGGTGGATATCTAACAGGTTCACCTTTGAGATAAACTGCCAAACAGTATGTATAAATTCAGAACATTAGTAAGAGACTGAGGATAAGGGAGAAAAGAAATATGTGCACTTGAGAGAGGACTACTCTGGAATGTTTCAATTGGGAGGAAAAAGGGGAGGTTTGCAGTATAATTCGGTGGCAACCATTGCCTACACTGCAAGTGAAGACAAATGTAAAATGCTGTCATACAGGCAGTACATTGGAATATTACGCTAATGCCTTAGAGTCTATAATTAGATCTTTGATTACTAATCCAGGCTGTTTAGAAGGAAAAAAGAGAAGTAAAGTTGACCTAAGGAAGCAACTTACCCTTTATAGCTTGAACACAAGTTTACATATTAATGAAATGCACAAATTTTAAGGAACTGTTTCCTTCATTTTGATGAATGTATACATTCATGTTCCCAATGGTCCAATCAAGATACAGAACATTTCCATCACCCTAGAAAGTTTCCCCGTGCCCCTTGGCAGTGTCTTGCCCCAGGTAACTAACTACTGATGTGACTTCTCACACTGTAAATTATTTTTCCTCTTCTACAACTCACGTAAATGTAATCGTACAGTAGGTACTTTTTTGTCTGTCTTCTTTTGCTCAGCATCATGTCTATGCCAAACTGAACTTTAATAATGTAAGGGAATGTCTAATTCTTCATATGTACTGGTATCAGGTAATAGTTTG